CTACACCTATTTTAATGGCCAAGCAAAATTAAATGAACAATGATCACTCGTCACTAAAAAGCAAAATCACCGAATGAGTAATGCAAACTGTTGACACCACCATGCTACTAAAACGCGTCCATCATAAAAACATAGCGGTATTAAAAATAAATAACAGTTACAACACTTTTTGACAAAAAAATGTCACCACGCATAGGCACACCTATTATTTTGTCCATATGTGTATGTCTTTTTTATAGTAGTTGATTTGCTTGTAGTTATCGATAAGAAAGATATATTTATAATTGTTTGTATCAAACGCAAGATTCATGTTTGTTTTTAGTCATTGTAATACATAATTCAGTAGTTTCCGATTGTTGTTTTTATTTCTTAAGCATGCGCTTAACTATGTGTTTTTCTTATTCTAAATAAAATTAATAAAATTTTTTTTCTTTTCTCTTTCAGTATTTCACTGGCAAGCTACAATAATGGGACCGGTAAGAATTTGCATATGTAATGATAATTGTTTTTTTTATATATTGAGATCGCTACAACACCCAGAAAGAAAAGTCGAAGATCGTATAAAGTATTATATGAATGATTAATGTGACAAGTTACAACAGAAAACACCATTCTTGAAGTAATTTCGAGTAAAAATCTGTCTGCATATACGCGTATTAATTTATCAGTGTTTGATATATCGGATCTAATTTTTATCACGTCCTTTTCTTGTGCTTTGTCGGGCTCAAAGGTATCGGATTGCTGTATCATATACATAGCTGTCATACAAACTGACCGTCCAAAATCAAGATCTAATATGAAAAGCTTTTGTCAATATTTGCTCACCAAATTTAGCTTGGATTATTTTCCAAGGCTAAGCTATAATTTCCAAACTAATTGTTCAGCATATAGCTGCCTTACAAACAGCGATTAAAATCAAGATTTTGTTTATATCTAGCGTCAACATAATTAAAAGAAGTCTTAGTTTAACCAATGCTTCAAGAAGCAATTTGTTTCCAAAGAGTTGCACAAGAAGGAAAAAATATCAAGTTTAGGACAATGCTCAGTTCGCCCAGGTGATGCTGTTGTATAAAACTAGACACTCCGCATTGAATAAATTACATTTAAAACTTAGAGGAGCTTCAATCCAACATTTTCTTCGACGTCTATTCTAAAAAATTTGAAAAAAAAAAAACACTGAATAAACATTAATTACATTTTTTCTGCAATTTTTTTACTGTCAATTTTGCGCTTAATCACATAACAGCTGTGAGAGAGTTGCTTTTTCGAACTTTCTATTTTGATAAAGATGCCAGATTTACTATCGAACTTATCGAACTGGTGGCATTATGCATTAGCGAAAGTTCAATGATTTTTAGTATATATTATTATTTTGGTTGCTTAAAATCCAAAATTAAATAAAATATATATATATAATTGTATACAAATCAGTTGAAAGCACTGACTTTGAACAAAGCAATAAAATAATTTTACTAATATTTCTCTATGTTTTGCAGCCTGACAGTCCGTACCAAGGTGGCGTGTTTTTCTTAACAATTCATTTTCCAACAGATTATCCTTTCAAACCGCCTAAAGTGGCTTTTACAACGCGTATATACCATCCAAACATTAACAGTAACGGATCGATTTGCCTCGACATTTTAAGATCTCAGTGGTCGCCAGCATTAACTATTTCAAAAGGTTAGTACACCGCGAAACATGCAAAAATAACAAAGAATTTATTTAATCAAAAAATGTATTGCTTTCTCTTGCAGTTTTACTATCGATTTGCTCTCTTCTCTGTGATCCAAATCCAGACGATCCGCTTGTACCAGAGATTGCAAGAATATATAAAACCGATCGGGAAAAATATAATGAATTGGCACGAGAGTGGACTAGAAAGTATGCTATGTGATGCGCTCCAGTTCGTACTATCGATCCGTCAACTAGTAACAACAGCAACATTAGCAACAAGAATGGCAACAGAATGAAGGATTGCTATAGCATCATCAAGACCAACAACAACAATATAATAAAATCAACAATAGCAACTACAATGGCATAGCGCTCCAAAGTAAGGGTTTAAAATAATATATAGCAGAAGCAACAACAACAGCAAATGCAACCAAAACCACAATGTGAAACAATTCTTCTTCAGCAAATAAAAAATATGAAAAAATATTAAAACAATAAAAAAACACTGCATTAATTCAAGAGTAAGCAAGAATTATGCGTATAAAACAAGAGAAAAGAAAAACGCCACAGAAAGCAAAATAAAAATCTGCGGGAAAAAAATAAAGAAAGGAATAAAATTACAAATTGATTCATAAAATACAACAACAACAAAAACACATAAATCAACTTACTTATTATTATTACATTTATAATTAATTAATTAATTAAATTAAAATTATATATTCTTCAGAAGAAAATTTAAAAGATAAATCAGAGATAAAATAATAAAACCATATAAAAAATACGCAAGAATACCATATAACATTAAGAACTGCGTGCGCAGGAGAGGCAAAAAAAAACAAGCGTTAAGCTAAAGTTTAAAATACAGTTACAGCGTAAAGTGTATGATGCAGCAGCGTGTAATACAGCATAGAATAGAGACTGATTTATACGTGTAGACAGACTTGATGAGATGAGTGGCGATATTTGTTGTGTCAGCATAGAGTGTGGTAGCATTGGCAAAGTCATAATACTGATAAATTCGATACAAAAGAGTGCACGTACACGAAAGTTAGAAGTGTACATGCGATGATGTATGTGTGCGCTTATCGGTATGGTTACGAAAAGGCATGCAAATATTCTACATTTTACTTTTGGATAATTTTCTATTTTGGGCGCCACACATCCAACACATTATTGCGTAATGCTAGCAGGTTTTAGCGCAATTAAGAAATGTGTGTGCGAAAAAGTACCATTTCCAGAAATTATACGCAAAGTCAGACCACAGGCCCCCAATATACTACTACTACACACACCACCATACATTTTGCGTAGGATATAAACCATTAAAAAAGGAAAAACACTTTAAAAATATATAAAAAAGGTGATGATGGACGATTCACTCGTTCCTTCACACGTGCTTCGCACTCCTAATTGGGTTATATATAGCAAAGCATAGCGTCAATGGTGTAATCCTATACCTAATCAAAAGCAAAAACAAAAATTCAAATTTAAGAACACAATTAACAGTTAAACAACCTACGTATTTAGTATAATTTGTATAATTTCTCTGCATAACAACTTCAATTACAAACCAAACATATTAAAAATTGTGTGCTTACTTGAGAGCGTTGCAGAAAAAGTGTGTGAGACAAGCGATCCTAATTGCTGTGTTTATTTACCAGTAATTTGCATTACATAATCTTGTTGGTGGATGATTTTTTTAAATGGATTTCGTTCTTTCTGTAATAAAAAAATTTAATATATAAATATATATACATATATCTACCTTCTAAAACAAACAAACAAAAAAAAAAAAAATTAAAATACATCATTTTAAGCTGTTCTTAAATTTTATAAAACCATAAATGAAAGAGGAACTTTAATATAACATTTTGAAAGTGAGTTGTGTTTGTTTACTGGTGTGCTTAACTGAAATGAAAATAAATTAAATAAAAACACAAAAAATATTTTAACTATTTCCATATGCCGCTTAAAACATACCAATAAGAAATAGAAATGCCAATTATACACCAAAACAAATCACACAGAGACTTCTACTACTACAATGCTTACAAACATACATACATACATACGAAACATATGAATACTTAGCCACACGCGCATTTGCTATCATAAAAGAAATCCTTTTTTTTTTTACTAGCGTTAGTCAGTTACTCATTAAATTGGGAGTAAATACAAATATAAAGAAAATTTAGTTTTTTTTCTGCTTATTTTTCACTATTTAGGTTTACTAATTTAACTATTGCAATTTATTTAAAATTAAATACATAATTTTTGTAGCTGCGAGATATCATTATTTTTAATATACATATAACGGTTTGAATGAAACAAAATAATGTATTGTAATAAATATTGTATAAAATATGTTGTTGTGTTTGCGGCCAAAGCAAGGGACTCTTTAACAGCTGCGTGGAGCTCTAAGAATACATTAAAATTACTAAAAAACAATTTAAAGGGTGCGGTGGCAGGTGTTTTGTGGAGTGAGTAGATATCTCTTTCTCCAGCAAACGTTGAATGGCGTGCGTTCGCCAGCATACCAAGCAAATTATTGAATTATTGGTGAAGATTTTTTTTGGGTAAAACAGCTGTAAAAATATATATTTTGATAAATACTCTTAAACGTAATTTTATAAATCAAACTTCAAGGAGGATTTAGACAGGTTTTGTGCTATATTGCAATTACATTTTTTTTTTAATATTTTTTATTTTTTTTTTTTCAAATCGGCGATCATGGATATGTGGTATGTAGTATACATAATAGTCAAATTCACTTGCATACATTTAGGCTCAATGGAATTCATATCTTTGTTATATAGGTAAGTAATATGTTCAGCCAACAGCCAACATTTTTTTCTAAAACAATATTTAATTCGATTATTCGATGTATTTTGCTTAGAAATACACAAAAACAACAATAGCAATGCTAATCGACTGTGTCAGACCACATCGGATTGGAAAATTAAATGGATATATGTAGGTATGCATATGAAAAATGGTTTCGCTGGTGAGTATAAATTTGTTGTGTTACATCCACAATTTAGGATAGAAGAGCAGACCGTTCCCACGACAGTCGGGTCTACGAAAACCAGAACGGACCCGGATTTTTATCCGGCCAAGGACTGTCAACTCGGCAGAACTCTGCCGTTACAACAACAACAACATAGAAGAGCAGACGATTATATATATTCCTTTTTGTTGTCGAATAAATTAGTTAAGATCCAGCGGATGTTCGAATCTAGATATTGCTCCAGTATAACAAGGTTGCTACCATATAAACGTATTAGCTGAGTATCTGCATCAAAACAACGTTATCGCAATATTGGTGCATGGATTCGAACATATCCCAGGTCCATTTCAGTTACGTGGAGATGTTTTTTTGCATGAAGCTTTTTACACTCCAAAGTAAATCCACAGCGTCCATATTCACTAACTGGACGAAGGAGCATAGACTGGATCTTTATACCACTCAATGGTGTTCAAATTCCGACTGACAAAAGCTCCAAAATTTTTGGTGTTACATTTAAGAGCCTGTGCTTTACTCAGAGCTACAAACAAATCCTCAAGTCGCTAGACGGCAAATCATGAGAAAAGGTCAAAGGAACATATATGTCCAGCGTGAAATGAATGCTCGTATGACTTTAACAACCTCTTTGCACGCCCAGCGAACTCCGATTATGTAACACCCCTCTCCCCCTGTCGAAACCGCACATTTCCTGGGTCTACCGTTAGACAAGTTCAATGACCACCAATTTGTGCCCTACCATTATCGATCACTACAGATAAATCCATTCCCACTATAGTTGGGTGTATGTGACCAGAACCGACTCGAATTTTTATCCGGCTGGGGCAGTAGTGCACCAAATTAATTGAGACATAGTTTAGATGTTTAGTTTAGATTTTCTATTACATACTATTACACTATTACATCTATGAAAATTCTATAAAGCCTTACTTAAAAAGCCGTTTTTGACCTCGGATCTTTTTTGTAGCAAATAAAATTTCGTACAAGTTTGTCATATATTTTTTCTATAGCTCTTGTCATTTACGAGATATATACATATATATAATTTCGTGGCAAAGCCAGGTTTAGAGCCCCGTACTACCTCGCCGGTGTGAGCTTCGATTTTGTCGCAATGGACACTTTTGTAGAGTGTTCAATTCTGAGGAATATATAATATGTCTAAAGTCAAAGCGATGCCATAAAATGCTTCTGAGCCATTACATAGAAATTTAAAGATAAAAAATCACAATTGTCGTGTATTTTCAATGGACAATTTTTCCATGCCTTGGTCCAGTCAATATTAATATTAAGGGCTCAAATTTTCAGGAAAAAATTTTTAGGGTATTTCCAAGGAAATTTCATGATGGGACTGGGGAAAAAAAACATCCTTATACATACATATGTACAAATGTGTATTGGTATAATATTTTGATGGTCAATGTGAAGGGCAACTATTTGCTCTCGCTGTCGTAAGCATGTATAGCATTTTTTTGTATTGCCTGTTCCGCTATATTTTCACAATATTTGTATGTGCATATGTATGTACATACATATGTAGTATGTATTCACAAGTGGAGTGCGATCGTTGATCATCGTGAAAGCTCTTTCCTATGCTAATTGCGAGTAAAGAATTGTAGAGAATTTTAGTAAGGCACACACAGTAAAACTTATTATTGATCACTTATAATATTAGTTTACAAGAAAAATATGAAAATTAACTTTTAGAGATTATGTTTTTTTTTTTAATTACAATTTTAAATAGATTTTTTTTTTAAAGAAATTATGTTATAAAAGTAAAAATTGCATCATTAAATAAGGTTTCGACTTGACAGAAATTCGACAAAAAAGCACCCGGAAATTGTAATTAAATTCCACGGGTGCATGATATTTAAATAATAATATATTTTACTAATTTGTTAGGACTGTCCTTAATTATAATGCCAAATATGAACGCGATCTGTTAACCAACTTGCATTGCGATTTTTACAATGGATAAAAATGAAATTTTTTTACTCTAATAAAATTTATAAATCTTCAAAGACAGTCGAGAGAAACGATCTGCCTCGTTCTGGACGACCTTTAAACTCTTAAACTGGTGAAATGACGATGAATATTAAAAAAGTGAAGGATATGAAGGAGATGGCAAGAGAGCTCGACAGCTCTCGCGAGAATGATTTTAGTGGGTATTGTGGGTATGAAAAGCGTTCGTTCTTGCACCACACCTCCCGATAAAACGGATTTTTTTTTTGTTTCAGAAAGAAATTTTTTTCCAATCCCACATTTAGTGAGAGCACTCAAACTGCCGATGAGACATGGGTTTATGAGTTTGACATGCAAACAAGTCAACAATCATCGGAATATAGGGGAAAACATGAGCCGAAACCAAAAACCAGGCCTCAAAAATCATTTTGATGCTCATTTTTTTCGATATTCGTGGTTTGGTGCTGTATAAATTTTTTCGGCACCGACAGAAGGTCAATAAGGAATTCTATTTGGCCGCATTGATTCGTTTACGTGACAAAATCCGTTGAAAACGGCCGGAATTATGGAAGAAAAATTCATAAATTTTACACGATGATAATGTACCATCCCATCGAGCCACGATTGCGACCAAAATTAAAGCTAAAAACGCAATGAATATCATCGATTAACCACCGTATTAACAAGATTTGGTTCCGTGTAATTTTTTCTTGTTTGATATTGATGAATAATTTAATATAATTTTTTTCAGGGTATTTTTTGATCACAAATATTCCAAATAGGTTCCATTTTAAGAGACATGCGTGCGGTGTTGATAGACTTCGATTACGGCTGCTTTCATGTTGCTTTTCACACAGGTTCTTTTTTTTACCCAAATATTCGGCCTTTTTCTACCAATTTAGCACTATTTCTAGCTTCTGGACGACCTGTCCTTTGGTCGTCATTTAAACCACAAAATTTTCTATCAATTCGTATGTTTTAGTGATTTTTTTTATCTTTTTATGTAAAACCCGAAAAATACCACACATTTTTCTCTTATTGAAATGACTGTAACTTTATCATATCTCATCCGATTTATTTGAAACATATAACGCTGTATATTTTATGGTACAAATATAAAGTACAGCTTTTTTTGGGACACACTGCATTTCAACATTTTTTTTTTTGTTTTCAGTGAATTTTGTAAAATTATATTTATTTCATTTATTTTAACTTTATTTTTAGCCTTTTTTCTATGTTCAAGTAAAGAAGTTTCACTGTATGAGTATATATGTACATACAGCTACGTTCAATATGATAGTAGTGTCACTGAGAAAAATACTTGAGGCAAAAAATTTATCATATCAGAATATAAATACCAATCACTCTGCCAGCTTCTAACGGTCATTCCGCGAGTAAAACACGAAGCATAAACTGCATTTATTCATTTCATTTACTATGTTATTCATTAATTTCTCTAGCGGTCCGCTATTTATGCTGTTCAAAAAAATTGTAGTGCAAGCCATCAAGTGGTATAAAACATATTTCTTGTCAAACAAATTATATAAAACACTGAAAATTTAGTACAGAAATATGAAAACAATAAAATTTTGTAAAATTAAAGACGGTTTTTTTGGTAGTAGGTAAAGAGCGAAAAACGGGAAATCATAAAAGGTGATCCATTTCGAGTATCCACTCTTTTTTTTAAAGAAAAAACACAAAAACTTCAAATTCAATTGGAAATGTTTATTAAAATAATGATAATTATCATTCGAAAGATCATTATTTGATATTAATTTTTTTGAAGATTATCTCTTTCAAATATTGGACGCGGTTAAAATTTAATTTTATTATTAAAAATTGTTGATTAAAAATTTTAACTTTATATTTTATGTTCAGGTCACTGCAATGATTGTGAACACAACTGTATATATGTACATGAATGTCTGTTTACTGAAAAAAAAACTAATTTATGAAGCGTCCGGTATTGGCGACTTTAGACCTTTTAATTCAAAGTAGCAATAATAATAGATTTTTTTTTACAAAGTTTTTATTAATATTCAATTAATTAGTCTATTTTATACACCAGTATTTGCATTTCTATTTTTTTCTTTATTTACATATGTGCATGCACCTATGCATATAATAATGCAACGGTACTTATTGAAGCGGCCGGTAGGGCTTTTCACTCCCCAAGTGCAAACACTTCCCCCAACTGTTTAGCCGATCATTCATTGCACCCCATGTGCGCGCCAAGGGTCCGCAAGCAAGCTGTAGAAATCAGTCGTTAGCCGATGCTGCGGTGTTGCTAGGTGCGCGTGACATGCGAAAAAAAGTATAACAATTGGTAAAATATTAAAATATCGCTTGTCAGTGCTAAATCAAAAATTAAATAAAGAATAAATAATAAAGCATCATTAGTTGTGAACTTCTCGTGCAACACTTACGTGCAATCAAATCAACTGCTGTTGTCACATTGCAAATTGAAAAAGTGCATAAAATTATAGTGAGTTGAAAATGATTATAAATGGTTATGCAATGTCGAAATACCAAAAAGTGAAAATTGCGTCAATATTCTCGCTTGCAAGTCAAGCGCACAGTTCAACTGCATTTTTGAAGCAATAAATTGTTTTTCAGTTCTTTGATGTGTTCGAACAAATAATTTCTTCAACCTTTTTTTGTTCTTATATTTGTTTATCGTTAGTGCCGCTAAAAAACTATGTGCACTTGATCTATTTTTTGTGTGCTCGCTGCTTACGAAAGTTGGTTTTTTTTTGTTTTTTGTTAGCTTCTTTGGCAGAAAGTCAAAAAGTATGCACTTTGATCTTGCGAGCGCGAAAATAAAATAAACTGTACACACTTTGTTGAATTATATTGAGATTTCCTTTTTGTGCCAGTCTCAACTGCACATTGTTTGCCAAAAGTGGTATTTTATTTCGAAATGAATCATAAGCGTTACGGCAATAAAATAACGACTTAAATCTGATTTGATAAAAAACCTAAGCGAAATTAAAAAAAAGTAATTTATTACAAAAATAATAACAAATAATGGGTTTTACAATAAGAGTGCTACAAAAGTCAAAAACGTTTTGGGATGTCAATGAAATTTTTTATTCCTGAGAAAGTACATTCCATGCCATTATGTATGCAACTCGATTTGTTTTATATGGCCACCATGAGCCCGCTTACAAAATTTCAAACGCTGAGAGTTCATCAATCATCGCTGGCTTGTTGGCATAGACCATAGACTTGACATAACCCAACAGGAAATAGTCGCACGACCGAGGCGGCCAATTGACTGGCTATTTCGTGAGATAACACGTTCACCAAACATGTTTTGCAATAAATCGAATGTGACATTCGTCAAGTGGTGCGGTCTTGTTCGAACCATATATTGTCCAAGTCCATATCATCCAATGTGGTCCAAAAATATTTGGATATTATTGGGTGGCAGCGATTCTCATTCACAGTAACGTGCCGGTTTTGATCATCACGCAAGAATCAATGATGCCGCTGGCCCCTAAACCGCATCAAGCCGTAATATTTTCGAGTTGCAATGGCGACTCATGCAGTATGTGTGAATTGCTGCCTCGCCAATAACACATAGTTTGCTTATTGATGAAGAATTTCAGCCAGAATTGCCCCTTTTCGCTGAAGATGATTATTCAATGAAAATTTACGAACATAAGGCGATCCTGGTGGTCAACCGTCTTCAGTTCTTGACCTTGTTAGGATGTATGTATGTCAAAATCTTTTCGCAAAATTTGCCACAACGACTTCATAGAGATGCTCAACACTTGAGAACGATGTGTGGGAGACTGATTTGGGTCTCCCTCAATTCATTCGCTAACGCAGCCATATTCGCAATATTCGGAATATCTTGTACTGCGCCTCATTGTTGATCGACAGGACGATTATGACGACCATATATTGGACATAGTGCTTTTAAAGTAGACGCCAATGACTCCAAATTTCGGTAGTAAATTTTAATAATTTCGACGCGTTGTGGGATCGCATATTTTTCCATGATGAAATGGCATCGTTTGCTATCTCTTTTGGTCTACTTTTTTAACGTCCCTATTGAAAAACCATTTATAAAACTAATTTGCTCTTCCATTTCTTCTTAATTCATCCCATGCTCCTTCAGAAAATTTTTGTTGAGAATACATATATGTTTTTGATACAATCGCTGAAATTAAAATAATTTTGGAAATTTTTTTTATCACAATATACTTTTCTCTTTTAATTAACAAATTTAATTGTATGGCTGTGCTTATTCAAAATACCGTATTCCAAGAATTTTTTTTTTTCACTTTGTACTCTTCAAATGCCCGAATTTTAAAATTATGCTATTTTTTGAAAGATTTTATGACCTCTTAGTTTATTTTTTAAGAACATAACTTAGCCAGCATAGCATATCAAAGTCGTCGTAGTTGTATATGTATGTCGCAAAGCTCACCAATCCATCGACTGCAATATTCGCCATTGCCAATGCCCAAAGGGTCATAAATCTCATAAATCTTCCACACAACCTATCTCTCGAAAACTCGTAACGCCGACCCATCAGACGTTGTCACTGCTCATGTCTCTGCATCATATAATAGAACGGGGATGATGAGTGGCTTGTAAAATTTGGTCTTTGTTCGTCGAGAGAGAACTTTACTTCTCAATTGCCTACTCAGCCCGACGTAGCACCTGCTGGCAAGAGTTGTTTTGCGTTGGATTTCGAGCTTGACGTTATTGTTGGTGCTAATGTTGGTTCCAAGATAAAGAAATTATCTACAAGTTCGAAGTTATGACTGTCCACAGTGTCCTGGAAGACAAGTCGCCATTGCGACGACTGTTTTTTTTTTGATGACAGGAGATATTTTGTCTTGTCCTCGCCCACTACCAGACCTATTTTGTCTGCTTCTTTGTTCAACTTGGAGAAATCAGAACTAATTACGCGGTTATCATGGTCTCGAAACATATATACCGACATAAAATATACTTCCGGTTCTATATAATGTATTCACATTGTTAAATTATCTTAACTTTATTAGGTTGAAAATACAAAAAAAAAAAACAGACTGTAGTTCGTTTTACATATTTACATACTTTAAAGCTTAATAAAATGCATCAATATGAGAATATGATAAGAACGCAATTCACGGCGACGTGTGAGCAGCAAGTGGAGTTCGTAGAACCGACGTTGGGATTATGTGCGGCCACGTGTTTCAAACGGAAGGAGAATAAAAAGGTGAGACTAAGCATATACGTATATAAAAAAAAAAACAGTAAAAAATATTATTTATTTATTTTTTATTTTTTAATGAAGTTTCCTTAATGATAAGATTAAAATTTTTATATTTTATTGTGCTACAAATCTCAATAAAATAATAATGAATACGATTGTATTTACATATATACCATATAAGGGTGAGCCAAAAATAATTTTAATATCGGAAGACACAATTAAGTTGCGGTGCAAAGCTCAATTCATATAACTGATTTTTTAAGTGCTTTTTATATAAAGGGTCTACCAACAAGAACGACGGGGCTTAGTGTGGTGAATAAGGCGGGTGGGGAAGCAGCTTCAAGGCAAGTACTTTCATTATATCCTGAACCGTATGCAAATTACTTTGCTGTGTCTTCATTAATGGATAATTTAAATTGATAATTTGTTGTGTGTAGGGATTAGTATTAACAGTTTTACCAGATTTTAGAAGCTCCTGATATACCACACCTTTCTGATCCCACTTAACACAGATCATTGCCTTTTTACCGAATCGATGAGTTTATGCAGTCGATAGTGAGATTGTCGCGGATTAACCCATGATTTTTTCTGTTATGGATTCCTTAAAAATTACATTTTTCATGGCCAGTGAGGATTCGATGCAAAACCGATTTTTGTTTCGTGTCTTTGAAGTAGAAATTCACAAGATTTTTTTCAGTTTCTCGTTTGTCTTTCATTCAATTCATGGGTGCCACATTTTCCACACATTTGGATCTTTCACATAGCTTTCAAACGGTCTGAAATTCTTTGTTGTGCAACATTTCACATGGCTGCCATTCGACTTCGACTCAAAGTACTATCTTCATATCTTCCAATACTGCTTTTCAGTTTTTTGGTGGTCTTCCACGTTCTTCATTTCTCACATCAAAATCATTATCTCTGAATCGTTAAAACGATCTCTTGCAGGTTGCTTCTGATAGAGCATACACCAGTATTGCGCTGAACTTTTTATTCGAGTTCCTCGAGCGTTGCTGGTTGATTGGCGTAAACCCTTGACTTAACATACCTCCACGGAAAGTATTCTAGATGCGTTAAATTGCATAATCCTGGTCAAATTAAGCCAAAAAATTGTCCTAGTAGAGAAACTATTTTCGCCATATACAAGTTTACCCTAACTAATAATTCGATGTTCGTTCCTTGGCTCACCCTAATTTATGTTGATAAGACTTTCGTCGTTAAGTATGCAATATTTCGTTTAATTTGCATATCATCTTTCTTATCAAAATAGAAAACAGCTTATAAAGCTATCATGTATAGACAAATGAGGTTATCAAAGCTATTGCGGTTCATTTTTTTAACTTTTGTAGAAACGTGCAAATTAAATTAATGAATGACAATATGGCGGAATCTATAAGAGCTCAACAAATTTCTCAATCTACCGCTTACTCAGTTAATGAGGGGTATTTTTTTAGACGATTTAGATTTTCAATGAGGCAACACTCGTTATTTATTCGCAGCTCGGTTTGCCTTTTCATAAAAAATACACTTACTCCGGAACTACTTTTGCAAATCCTGAATATTTATTACCTAAATTCGTCGCACCATAAGAAAGCTATTGTTGAGATGTCGTTACACCCTTAAAAAGTCACTGTTTGATGTGCCCTATAGCCAGAGGGAATTATTGGTCCATATTCTTACAAAAGTCAAGCCGGCCATGGTGTTACAGTCAATGGGGAATGCTGTACAGCCAGAATTTTTTTACTTTTTCATGTCTAAATTAGAGATGTTGATGATAGAGACATTGATGTGAATGACCTTTGGTTCCAATAAGACGGCGCTACACGCCATATAGTTAATAACAAAATAAATTTATTGATGGAGATTTTGAGGCCTCTCGCCTCAGGGCCATATGGTGGGACCTCTAAGATCGACACAGCTGGACTATTTTTTGTTTGGTTATGTGAAGCCGCTTATCTACGCAGAAAATCCCGATCCGATTGATGCCTTGGCAGAAAATATTCGCTGCGTTATTGCTGACATTCGGCCCCAATTGCTGCAAAAAGTATTTGATAATTGTGCCTCTTGGCCAGAATTTAAAGCATAATGACAAACTGTTGCGCTAAGTTCAGAGACTCCACATTTGCATTCACAGCAATGATGTTGAAATTTTCGGGCTATTTTTTACACCCTGAACATGGTATATTAAGTTTGTCACGAAGTTTGCAACACCCAGAAGGAAGGGTCGGAGACCCTATAAAGTATATATATAAATGATCAGTATGTCGAGCTGAGACGATTTGGCCATGTCCGTCTGTCTGTCCGTCTGTCTGTATATATACGAACTAGTCCCTTAGTTGTTAAGATATCGTTTTGAAATTTTTCAAACGTCATTTTCTCTTCAAGGAGCTGCTCATTTGTCGGAACTGCCGATATCGGACCACTATAACATATAGCTGCCATACAAACTGAACGATCGGAAACAAGTTCTTGTATGGAAAACTTTCCCATTTGACGTGGTATCTTCACGAAATTTGGTATAGATAATTTCCTAAGCCGACAATGTAATCTCCGAAGAAATTGTTTACATCGGTTAACTATAGCATATAGCTGCCATGTATGGAAAACTTTCACATTTGACGTGGTATCTTCACGAAATTTGACATGGATTACTGCTTAAGCTAACCATATAATATCCAAAAAAATTTTTAGAACGAATTACTATAGCACATAGCTTCCATACAAACTGAACACATAATTACTAACAGAAATGCACCTGAGAA